CCCCCCCTCCCCCCCCCCCCCCCCCCCCCCCCCCTCTGGGCGGTCCTGCACGCAAGTGTCGGAGAACAGCCTCCACAAGTGTCATGGTTCAGAGAGAACACGACCATCTGAATGTTTAATTTCAAATAGTGAATAAATTTACTGTGCAAGCTTTCTTACAAGGCAGAAGGACTACACATTCATGCCAAACGTAAGAGCTAATTGGCTAAGATGGGGAAGGGCATCGTAGAAAGGTGGCGGTAGCAGCAATGACGTTCTTTCCGGGAGCTCCCGATAGATGTCAGGAAGACAAGTTTTATGGTAGCTTCCAGCGAAACCATGTGTTTGGCATCCCTCCCGCCTGGGTCGTGATCCTGGCACATAGAATATTAGGGCTGCATTTCGAAGTTTTACGCACGAGGACGAGGAGAAAGACGAGGATCCTATCATGGATAGTGGGTTCTTTTCCCTCAGTCCGCAGAAGGTGAAACTGAATGCTGTCAAGGATCTGGCAAAGAAAGATCTCCTGGAATTCATCGACAAAGCGACAGCCCCAAGAGTAGGTGCCCAAGTATAGGTTATACCGTTGGTCAAGCCGTAGGCCTACAGCATAACTTACTCCAAGCCTGTTGCATTGCATAGGGTAAAATAGACTGCATTATGATCATGAATTTCCATCACCCCTAACTTGAAAAGTCTAAATGAAGGTATCACAGGCCTTGGACGTGCATAGCATGCTAGCTTAAATGTATATTGGATCGGCCTAAGTTAGGTTTGTTCATTACGCTAGTAGGAATGGTCGCCTGCATAATAGGTATAGCTGATGATGCTGGAGCTGGGCCTAGACATTCCAGGTGGTTCCTTTAGTGCTAACTGCCATATAACCAGAACACTGATCCCTTTTTGCAGGCCATAGTATGGGATGAGGAACTGATGGGTCCCTTTGGACTAGTCTGTGAAGCATCTGTGCTAAAGGAACATGAAGTTCGGAAAATGATTGTACTATCCCCAGGGAGACTTCTCCCTGATAACGTGAAGAGCATCATATTCATCACACGGCCTTCTGTCAAAGTTATGGATGTCATTGCTGAGTCCATCCGCTTGTGAGTGGATGTCATGGAAACTTCTGCCTGATAATATATTCCATTATTCTTTAACAATTTTAAGTTGAGGAATAATGGTTCTCATTTGATGACAAGTTCCTACATTTCAGGGAGGAGAGAAACAGGAGCCCAGCCAAGGAATTTCATTTATTGCTAGTCCCCAGGAAGAGCTTTCTTTGCACAAGCAGACTTATTGTAAGCATACCCACATCATGAGGTCAAAATGTTTAAGAATATAGCTGATAGTTTCATTTTGTTCGTGTTTGAATTTTCTTACAGGAGCATGGTGCTCATGATGTATTCCATAGTATTGAAGAACTCAGCATTGATCTCTACCTCCTGGATTCATTCATTGTCTCTATGGAATGGAAACATGCTTTCAAGGTTAAATAGCTTTCATCTTTCATTGTGAAGGTTATATTGTGGATGAAGATGATAACTTGACTTCACTCCGCATTCTGGCATTTTGCACTGATTTTATAGGAATGCCATTTGGAGAATGATACAACCTGTTTATTCCATGCTGCACGAGCCCTGATGACTCTCCAGTCTCTGTATGGGACATTCCCCCGTGTGATAGGCAAGGGACAATGCAGCAAGCAGGTGTGGGACCTCATGAGTCACATGCAGCGCGACCACCGAGATCACTCCTCATCCTCCTCTCTGTCAGCCTTGACTCCTCGCATCCACACCCTCATCCTAATTGATCGAGCAGTGGATCTCTTGACTCCCCTTGCCACCCAACTCACATATGAGGGATTCATTGATGAGATCCTTCATATTGAACGTAGTAAGAGTCTTTTGAATACCTTATGTATCCAGGTTGTTGCAGAAAAGTCAAATGTAAAATAAATATAATTTTGTCATCCTGTAGTTAATAATTATGGTTTCCACAGATGTTGTGAAGATTCCTGCTGAGAAGATACAACGTGCTGATGGGAAGGGACCTCAGGAAGTGACTGAAGGCTACAAACATTATGTCCTCACCTCACAAGAGGAATTATATGCAGAAATCAGGTAAACAAAATTGCTTAGATAGTTTATTATTTTTAAAACTGGTTTTTGAGGTTCACCTTTGAGCTCTGTTGGGATAAAAATCTTATCTTTGTTATGAACTTGACTGTGACAGGTATGAATTCCCTTTTCATGATATTGACTCAGTGTTAGATGATGTGCACTCTGTCTCTATGAATGTGACTCTTTCTTGCCTAGATGTTTTTAAAATTATGCAGTCTTATGATTGATTTCCTTCTTGCACTATTGATCCCCTTATCCCCTTTTCTTTCTTCATTACAAGGAAATTAAAGATAGAGAAGTGCACCTGAGACACCATATTGGAAGAAATGTCCCATATCTGCCCACAAGTGGGAAATCAGAATGATTTTATGCCAAGGGATAATTTTTTGCGGAAAGGAGGTCATATACATTTTGTGGAAATTTCAAGAAAAGTTGGAGGTGTGGGGATTGAAAAAACCATGGGAAAAGAATGGGACAAACAGAGTTTTATTGGGTCTTTGTCTCTCTCATAGGCTAGACAACAGGAAGTATTACATTCCATGTCCCAGTTTAAGATATCAGCTTTATTTATTTGAACTTTTTTCTCTTCACTGTCACCCATGATGCCCTGTTCTTTTAAACATCAGTTATGTAGAATTTGTCTTGACTGGTTTGCATCAGTTGCCATCCAGTGAGGGAGAATTGAGCATTCAACTTGCCCCAGAATGATATCATATGACAGTCATTCATATTTCAAACCTTGTGCAGTATATTTAAATTGCTCATTCATTTTGTCTATACTACTTTAACTTACCTTGACATTTTTAATAGTCATTTGTTTCTATGTGGACACTATAATGTTCAAAGAAAATAGAAATTTGGCACTGTGCATGCCTGGATGCATTTCTTAGCATTGGTTTTGTTGTTTGTGCAAAAGCATCACTGACAGCATTTTTAAGTTCATCCACATGTTACATTTGCCTATGAGACACTTTTTCTTTTATAAATGGCCATAAGTTGTCATAAGTTGTCAAACCAGGACTTTGAAGAAGCTACTCCTAACAGTCTGGAACAACCTATCTAAATGGAAATTCTCATAATTCAGTGGCAAAGTGAGCTGGTGTGCTATCTTGTTTAATAACTTCATTTGTCAATGCTGCTCAGGTCAATTCTTGAATAAGTCAATTTGACAACATATCCAGATATCTTTCACTGTTAGTACTATCATTGGTCTATACTTTTCCTTGACAGAGGTCACATATGTGACAGAGAAACTTGCTATCATCACTTTTTAAAGAGAAAATTTTACCTTTGCAATGTACACTTCCTCTTACAGCCCATAATAGAGAAAAGCACATTGACCTTGAGAATGTGTGATTTTGGCACTCTTCTTGGACATTCATGGTAGGATCAAGGCATTATTCAAGGTGGTGGGTATGTTCATGTGGCCATTTTCATGCACTCCTGAGTGTGTGGTAAATAAGTTGATTGTAACATTTTATTGAGGGAGTAAAACCTGAAGTGGGAGATAACATTGTATAGGTGGGAGAGCTCTGATGGTTTTTTGGGCTGGAATGCCTCAAAAACTGGGTGAATGTAAGAATACTGTAGCAGGAAGCTAATGTGAAGGGCTATACCTATGAATCTGTGAAGTAGAGGGAGAATTGGGTTAGAATGGTAATTGCAAGAGGATTTTAATGGATATCTTTGCAAATCCAAGTGTCACACCACTGGTGTTTGAGCTGGAAGTTTTCAGTTTATTTTTTTTTTTACCTTTTGGAGAGAGAAATGCATCCACCCCACTGGCCTTTTTTAGCCCCTATCTAGCAGAAGACTAGTATTTTTTATGAACTGGGGATGGGGAGATGGTACCCATAATGGGACAAAGTGGTATGTGAGATTAAAATTTTAATTTCCATTTGGGTGAGGGATGGAATTTCAGTGTCATTCATTTACAAAAGACCTAATTAATATGTGGTGTGTGTGTGTGATAGAGACAAGCACTTCAATGCCTTGGGACCAATCATGGTGCAGAAAACAAAATTCTTGAAGGAATTCAATGAGGAAAATAAAAGCAGTAAGAGTGTAGCAGAGATGAGAAAGGTTGTCGATCGACTCCCTCAGGCCACAGCCCTCAAAGAATCCCTCTCCATTCGTAAGTGTGTGACCTTCTCCTCCTCATTTCATTCCACATTGCTTCTGAGTCTGTCAGATGAGACAACAGGACTATCCATCTTTCATGAAGATTGCATTTGAACCTTGAGAACTGGAAGATTCATATGCATCAATGCCATAGAGGCCAATCATTTTTATCACAGAGGACTACAGATATACTTAATTGGAATAGAAGCAGAACATTTGCATATTTATGCTCTCATGTGTCAACTGAAAATTCACTAAGCATTTAATAAATTACATCTGTTCTATTAAAATGGACTGTCCAGAATATTTGGAGTTATTTCCAACTTATCTGGTGTGCTTGTGTTGCAGATTTTTCTATTGCAGAGCTGATAAAGGAAGTGGCACATTCAGATGAGTTTAGAGACTCACTGAAGACAGAGCAGGAGTTCCTCAATGGCATGAACACAGATCAAGTACATCCATACATTGTCAAGTGTCTTGTCAAGAAGGAACCTATGTTCAAGGTGGGGTCATATTTTGAATCAAGGTGTCTCACTATTTCCAAGAATCATGCTTATTTGGTTATTCATGGAGAACTGATTTATGCAGGTTCTTCGTCTGATGTGTATGCAAAATATAGTGAATGGAGGCTTGAAACAGAAGGTTCTAGAATACTACCAGCGATCTCTGATCCATACATATGGATTCCACCACATCCATACTCTCTATCACTTGGAGAATGCTGGCCTCCTCAAGCTCCAGGTTAACTTTCCATCAGTCATGGTGGATTTGTTTCATCTCAAATTGTTCCATATCCATTTTGATCCTTGAACGGGCACAGGGGAGGCCAACATACACGTTTCTGCGTCGTACACTTCGCCTCTCGGATGAGGACGTGAGTGAACGGAATCCGACCGACATTGCCTACGTTCACAGTGGATATGCACCACTTTCGGTGCGAGTCATTCAGCGTCTGAGCAAAGGAGATTGGGCTTCCATTGAAGATGCATTACTTGCTCTACCAGGTCCTCTCATAGATGAGCGACAGCAGATCCCTCTCTCTGTTCGCAAGAAGAGTACAGTCATTCCTCCCATTTCTTTGTGAACCTCAATTTTTGCAATTTGAGGTCTTAATATGATGGCTATTGACCTTTCTTTTCAGGTGTGATGCATGGAGGTGGAGGCAATGGAGAAATGGTGACATTGGTCTTCTTCCTTGGTGGTTGCACCTTTGCTGAAATTGCTGCCCTTCGCTTCCTCTCCCAACAAGCAGACAGTGAGTCATCTGTGTTCCCACCCCCTGTCATTCAGTACGTGAATCTTTGGTTAGTATCAAGTATTTCATTTGCTTTACAGTGGGGACAGAATTCCTGATTGGGACGACAGGAATCATTAATGGTACCACATTCTTAGAATCCATTCAGGAGGTCCTCCTCCCTTCTTAGCCTCGGCCTCTTCCACATGGAGGTCTGTGCATACGCCAAAGAGACTTCATTCTGAAGTGCCATGTCCACTCCAGGCTTCAGATATCCTCAATCACTCTCAGTATTACAGGACTTTTTTGTCCTTTTGGGATTCCAGCTTGGTGATGATTCTCATTGATGATTCATACTCTTTTTAGGAAATGTTACTTCTTAGTTACTTGAAAAATGGGAGGCCCCTACCTCCTCTGACCTTTGAAAAAAAGTTATTTGATGTTCTATCTCCCACTCATCATTCTTTCTTCCATTTTATGTCTGTCACTCCTCCTTCCATTGAGTAAATAATTATATTTCAAGCTAACCTTAACAGAAAATAAAATGCTCAAAATTAAAGGAAAGAAATATCTAATCGATCACACAACAGGTTACTAATTTGTGATTTTCTGGGTCTTCTACCACATCACAAAGAATGAGTCATGTACTAGAGTGATTGATGAAGATTTTGTGATCTTTTGAATTTCCTGTGATTCAAGTCATACCCCAGCCATCGATCTGATCCCTTGTTGTGGAACAAGATGGAACTAAAATGTTAGGGGGAAAACGCTATTATTGTAAGTTGAAATTGCCCTCAACCCACAGCCAGAATGGCAGTGCAGGCTCACCCCTCAATATGATATTTTGATATGCGAAGTTTCATCTAAAAAATCCCAGTTATATTCCTGTTTGAACTACTCACACATAATGAGCACTTTGCTTCATAAGCTTGTACCAGCACATAACTGGAACAGAATTAGGGGTTGAGTTGCTTGTTAATAACTAGGTCCACTATGGATTCTTTTTAGACCATTCTGATATTATTAAATGCATCCTTTTATTTTAAAAATATTACTGGAATAAGGTGACATGCTGCATTTAGTAGAGAGAAGAAAAAAAAGAGAAAAACCTGTCTCCCTGATCATTTTGAATGTTTTGAGAGTGAAGCTGTACTGTACATGTCAGTGAACAGAAGGTGGAAAGGTTTGACCCAAGCTCCTCATATTGCTCACTGCCAGCCAAAGTGAAAAGGAATTTCCGTGATCACCCTGTGGGTGATCATGGAAATTTCTTTCCTTTTGCCCCACACTCTAGTTTTCAGTGGCAGTGATACATATAGCAAGCTGGCTGAATTTGTTGTAAAAGAGAAAAGCCATCACTGATATGATCCACCCAGACCATTCTTATTGCAGACGTCTTTGTATCTCAGAAAACAGCAAGTTGCAAAACTTGCATATTTGGCCTTGTACCAGTTGCCTGTTGAGTCATTTCTGTGCTGTGGAAATTTTCATAAAAAGAAAGTTTATCATAAGGATTTCCATTGTGAATTCCATGAGACACTGAAGATGGTTCAATGAGTGCTAACGATGCAAGATTGCATAACCTTTTTTGAGGAATAGGTTTCTCTGACCTACTTTCAATGAGAGATTACAACAAATCATCACAAGTTAGATATTTCTCCAGCTTACCATGAGATAAATTATGAGGAACGGAAAATTATCCATTTTTGTCCATGAAGTAGCATAATGTCCACTGAGGGTACTTGACCTATTAGTAGAGAAGCAAAAAGCTGGCTGTTCTTGGCTGTTTTCAGACTTGATTCAATCGATGTCTGTTAATTTGCTCAGAGAACGATGTAAATAAAGATTATTATGAATTCCCAGAAATTGCATGATGCTCTTAGTTTGAAGATGAAGATTTAAGACAACAATACAGAAAAATTGAGCATATTGGGGCTAAAATTCTCTATGGCAGATTTCATTCCAAAAGATGGGGCATGTTGAAGACTTGAGTGTGGATTTAAGCGAGTCATCCTGATGTTGCCCCATTGCAAGGCATTTGAGATCCAATTGCCTGGGATGAATTTAAAAAGATGGACTTACTGCCTGCTTACCTTTCTTCTGTGTTTCTGCCTGATGAGAGAACAAGTCAGGAAGAAAGATCTTGGTGTCATTTGCATGCAGAGAACTGCAGAGCACCGTTTTATTGAATGAAATTGGTGTATTATATATTTGCAGCCTTCCTTTTGCTTGACTCACTAGTTTCACCCAAAATAATGCATATTTTTTTGGTTTTCTCCTGTAGGAGTCAGACGCATTTTTGTTTGTTTTCGTTTATAATCATGACTTCACCTACATCACAAGGCAATCGTAGCAAGTCGAAGGTAAAGAAGAGGAAGAGAAACCTAGATTGGGACGACCTGCCTGTAAAACTGAAGGCACCGGTTCGAAAAGCGATTCAGACTCTCGGTTTCGACACCATGACCCCCGTCCAGGTGATTCCATTTTCCACGGTCTCCTCCGATTCAGCACGGACGATCCTTCATTCCCCGAAAACGGTATTCCCCAGGCAGAGACAATCCCCCTCTTTGTGGGGAACAAGGACGTGATCGTGGAGGCCGTCACTGGGAGCGGAAAGACGCTCGCCTTCCTCGTCCCCATGCTCGAGATCCTCCTCGTACGTGAGTTTTCTCTCGCGTGTGGATGCCTTTTTTCTGCTGTACGAAAGGATCGCTTGCAGGAGGGAGGGCCGGGGAATTCTGGATTCTTGCAAAACCTTTGTGGAAAAAAAGCCTGTGTGTTACCCTTTCGATTTTGCTCACCTGAGATGGTGAGCAAATGAGCATGCAATTTTTTTTTTCACGATACTGTCCATCCTAGTTTTACGGTGTCTTCGGTTGAAACAGGCTTCTGAGCGTCCTCGTGGTCTATCCTGAGCGACGAGCTTTGTTGGTGGGATGTCAATCCTCAATTATTGGGTTGGAAAGAAAGTCTTGCAACACTGCGCAAATTTGTCAAAATGTTATAACTTTATTGAAATGCAATTTCAGTCATTTTATAAATAGTTTTAGAAAGTGTTGCAAGACTTTCTTTCCAACCCAATACAAAGCTTCGTAATGCGGCTGCACGACATTTGTCTTTGGACAATATCGTATCAACTTCCTTCAGAATGCGATAAGTCGATATTATCGCGGCCTGAATGAGGGGAGGGGAGTATCGCGTTATTATTATAATTATTATTATATTGGAAATAGTTGCCGCCCATTTCTTCCGTGTCCTATGACCATCAACGGGGTGTACTATCAGGGTGTAATGAAGGGAGGGGGTGTGATTGATTTCCGTCGATACTGACACGAGCAGGCTTGGCCCATATAAATACGTACTGTATATAGCAAAGGGGGTGAATATTGATTCTAGATTTTTGCTGTATGTGGAAAACGCGGACGAAATGTTGACTCGTTCTCTGTGAAATGAAAACAACAAACGGGTGTGATTACGACCGCCTCCTTCCCCCCCCCCCCCCCCTTATTTGACGAAGTTAACGGGGAAACAAGGGAGCTGTCATTTACGATGTGCTACGCGATCTATCACGATCTAGATAATTACTGGCCTTCCTATATGCGAGCTCTCCCGCGGGCAAAACGGAAGTAAGGGGAGATTTCTCTTCCTAGATTTCCATAAAAGATTTATAGTCCGTCTCGAAGGAAAGACGTTCAAATCCCAATGATAAGAATTGTAGAGGTGGTTCTAATTGGTGTACTCGTCATACTGGAGGAATGATTAATGTGCCGATGTCAGCTGTCTCAGACTCGAATGTATCTTGTAGGACTGTGCTATCTCATCGGCAAGCACCGGATTAATAAGCCGATATTAATCGGCAGGTTTGCAAGCTGCCGATGTCGATGACCTAAGAAGAACTTGCCGAACGAAGAAACATGGACGCGACTCGGTTAATGAATCTCAGCAGATAAATAGAAAAGAGTTGGGCCTTCAAGGTTGCGTCGATCGATGTCGCTATCGATAGTTGGAGACATGGATGACTTCGTTACCCATCGCGATGGTCACCCCCCACCCTGATCACGGACGAGTGAAGACGGAAGACGGAAATAGTTCTGCGCCCAGATCGAGGCGAAAGATCACTGAATCCCTTCACTCTCCCTCCCCCTTTCCACCATGGCGTATCTCAGCTATCGATGCTGCAGCGATGTATCTATGTTTTCAGAACACCCATCGCGAAAATACTGTACTATTTAAAAAAAATTGGGGTTGGAGAGCTGAAGCCCTCCCCCCACTCGCTACGCCACTGATTGATCTCATGTATCTTCGCTCTTTACATGTCACTATTGGCATCGGCTATCGGCCAGAGATGGGGACCAGCACAACCCTGCCCTCCTGCTCAATTACGCACATCCAGCTCACTTTATATTTTCCAGGCATATTTACGCATCTGATGCAGGTAGCAGAGTAGCGACAGAGGAATAGCATGATAGATACATTGCTCGATTATGAGTTTTTCATATTGACATCCGTCGACGATAATATAGATTTTCATGGACCTATACGATGTCAATATCGCCACAGCTTCATATCGCGATTTTTTTATATTTATTTACAATATCGATATATCATGCATCCCTACTTCGTATCATGGTCCTTAACTCGTTCACGCGACCTGATTCTTTGGTTTCCACCAATACTTCTCGGCCGCGGTTCCAAGTCGACTGGGCCAGAAGGACGGAATCATCGATAAAGATGATTATGTTAGCCTCGACGCCTGGCCTAGAGGATTCCGTCCGTGTACGGGGGGAACAGAAAAGGAGAGAGTACGCAATCCTAGCGGAGCTCGATGCTAACGGAGGCCTTCGTTCCTCCCGCTCTCTCGATCTTAACTCCTGGAATCGGTGTGTAAGGACTGAATGGTCCGCAGTAGCCGATCGGTGAACATCCCGAACCTTCCCTTGCGCGTTGATCTGGTTCATGGTGCTGCGCTCTTCACGAAATCTTCTGATATCTTGGATGGCTTCTCCACGCCAGTTCAGAGGTTCTGTCCCCGATTCCCATGCAGTTTGCCGTTTGCTCTTTAAAAACTCTTTTGGATACTCGTATGACTTATTCTTCAACAGTAGCAGCGGATGTAACGTATTATATGTGCTAAAAATATGTTCCAAGTGTGAGATGGTATGTTATATTTGCATAACAAGAGATCGAAAGAAAGCGTGACATTTTGTTCGAGATCGTGGAAATGAAGGAGGCCTTCGAAGTCGGTACAGGTTTACTAATCTTTTTATTCTAATTCACACTTGTTTCGCTCGTTCTCGGTTTGGCAGCATATAGAAAAGGAATCGTCTCGATCGTCGACCTCAGTCGTGTTCTTCGGCGCTGGACCCAGCCGTGGAAACCCAATCGACCACGCGTCCTTGGGTCCGCCTCTTCCCCTGTTGAAATGCGTTGGAGGTAGAGGCGGAGGTCTCGGACCGGATGGCGACGTTGGGGGACTGGAAGCTGATGAAGCTCTGTCCGTTGGCGCCGCCGACGGGTCTCCCGAGGTTCAGTCGGCTGGGTCGGACGCCGATCACGGCGGTTCGGATGCCTTCTTCGGATCCGGATCCCAGGGAGTTGGAAGTGCTTCCTCTCTGAATCAGGGTCACGGTGGACACGGGTTGCAGCCTCGTACGGGTTTGGGTCACGACCCGAGTTGCGGGTCTCACCCGGACCACCCCGGTGATGGCGTGGGTGGCGGGTCGAGAGACGATCTGCTTGGTGCTGGTTGTCGTCACGCGCTGTCCTGTCGTCCCCAGGCTCCCCGACAAACCGAAACTGTCCTCGTCGGACGTGGTGAGTAGGCGCTGGGATTCGTCGATGGTGATTCCGTAGTCTCTGAGGATTCCGACCAGTGTGGATGCTCGGATCGGGGCCGTCCCGAGAGAGAGGATCTGTTGGTCGTTCAGGCGTCCCACGAGGTCCTGTAGGTAGTCCACGTTGTACGTTCCATCGTCGACGACCGTGATGACGTGTGACGTTGTCGTGGTCGTGGACGTGGACGTGGTCCTGGTGGGTCCCACGATCCCCGTTCCTCCGACGTTGGTCACTCGAATTTTACCCGGGATTTTCTGTCCATACGTAGCAGTTACTTGGACTTGACCTGGAATGCTCTGTTCATAGCTTGTGCCCACTTGGGCTTGGCTTGAGAAGCCCTGCCCGGAGGTTGTGGCCACTTGGGGTCGACTAGGAAAGCTCTGCCCGAAGGTTGTGGCCACTTGGGGTCGACTAGGAAAGCTCTGCCCGAAGGTTGTGGCCACTTGGGGTCGACTAGGAAAGCTCTGCCCGAAGGTTGTGGTCACTTCCGATACTTCGTTGCTCCCATCCTCTCCTTGGATTTGGACGGTGGGAACTTGAACGGGAACCTGTACGGGAACCTGAACAGGAACCTGATCGGAAACATCGTCCGCCTCCACCACCTCGATGCTATCATCCCGCGTCCCCGAACTCAGGTGCCTTCGCAAGTAATTGTGTAGTGTGGTGGCGGCGATGGGACCCGACCCGAAGATTCCGAGGATCTGCGAGTCCGTCAGCCTGCTCTGTAGCAGCAGGTTCTGGAGGACGTTGAGGTCCACTCTGCCGTCGTCCACGACGGAGACTCGTCCCTCCGAGCCGGACTGAGTCACGACCTGGGAGCTCGTTTGGGTCTGGGTGACTCGGGCGGGTGTCCCAAGTTGCGGTCGCGATGAGACGAAGGTCGAGACGACAGGTCGAGACGAAACGACGGTCGAGACGACAGGTCGAGACGAGACGACGGTGCCTGACCCGCTTCCGACATCCACATTGTACCCCAGGCTTTGGAGATACCGAGCGAGCTGGGATGCCGTGACCCCACCGGCTCCTAGGTCTCTCTCGAGCTGCGCCTGCGTGATACTGTTTTCGCTGATGATTTGTTGGAGGCGGGAGATGCTCACGGTCCCGTCGTCCACGATGCTATAAGACCCGGTCGTCGTCCCTCCCGTTGTGGGTCTGGAGACGGTCGTCGTCCCTCCCGTTGTGGGTCTGGAGACGGTCGCGGTCTGCTTTAATTGGCTCTCGTCGATCTTGATCTTGAGGGTGAATCGAAGATAGTTGAGGAGTACGGACGCCTGCACTGGGGATCGGCCCAGAGCTGCCTCCAGTTGGCCGATAGTGATCCTGTTCTGCGTGATGAGGGTCTGCAGGTAGGAAACACTCACCGTCCCGTCGTCGATGATGCTGAAGGTCCCTTGGTCGGCCGTCGGCTGAGGACTCGGTTGAACGGGTCGACCCCGGTAGAGGCGAGTCTCGTCGATGGTCACGCGCCTCGAGATCAAGAACTGGATGATCTGGGAGGTACTGATGGGGAGCGGGCCCAGCAACAGCAGCTCTTGATCGGAGATCCTTGCGTCGGAGATGAGGGTCTGGAGGTACTGGATGTCCACGCCCGCGTCGTCGATGATCTGGATTTCGGACGTGGACGTGGTCTGGGTGACGGCCGGGACGGGCGTGATGGACCCGGGCCCGAGGACGTCGGACTCGTGCGCCTCCGTCTGCCCGAGGAGGCCGGCCCCGAGGAAGTCCCCATAGTCGTCGATCCGGCCGATGGACTGGAACACTCGGGACACCCCGCTCCCTCTCTCGCTGTGCAAGGGAGACGTCACGTCAGCGTGACTGGAGTTGCAAAAAGTGTCCTGGTTTCTATAATTTTCTAATTAGGGTTCGTCCGACTCTTCGTGCGTCCTTGATTGAAGGATGACTCAAGGATGAGCTTTTTTTGGCGAAGTCTATTTGTTGCAGCGACTGGATTTACTGGTTATCCCACTTTTTCTAGCGTGATTTCCTGATGGCGGTTGTTCGAAGCTTTCTGGAGTTTTTTTTTTTTGCTGTCGTGATAATGAGTCGTGCATTTCGGACGAGTCGCATCGACGGCCGATGGACAATACTTCTTGTTTCTTAAATGGTCTTTCATCAGAGCTCGGCAAAAACCGGAAGTGAAAGTGAACGATGATGTCATCGGACGTGAAGATACGCGAAATACCTGTGGATATTCGCTCCCCTCCGAGATCTTTTTATATATTTCCTCTCGAAAACTCTCATCCTCTTACCCGGAGTCGTTAATCGAAGGAGACTTGAAGAGGACTCACTCCTTGACGACGTACCCGTACCCGAGCCCGTCCTTCGGCCCGTAGGCGCGGACGAACCCGCCGGGGATGGCGTAGCGGTAGTCGCCGAAGAAGCCCTCCCGCTTCGCTCGCCGCCCGACCACCCCCGCCTCGGCCGGCCACAACCCCAGCCACAGCCCCAGCCACAGCATCGACACCGCCTGGAATGGATGCGAAAAGACGCTTTGGGATTGCAAAAAGGGAAAACGAGACCGAAAGACTTTCCTACATCGCCGGTTTCTGGGCTACTTGTATTTTTTTTTTCCTTCGGAGGACCCATTGTATTCTAATTGAATGGTAATTAAATTGGACAAATTGTCTCCGTTCGGCAAAGCTATCGACGTAGGTTTAATTAAATAATTTTAATTTTACTCTTTACCTCCTGTCTACAAAACATCTCATGTCTTGGGTGTCGATCGGCCTATGGTTTCATTTGATGATCGTCCACGTCGTTTCCTTCCATATTCGGCCGTCGGCGTTGGCAGCGGAGCCCGAGGCCCACGACTTCCTTCCAGGTCGAGAAAGGGGTAAATAGTAAATTAGGGACAAAAAAAATGGAGGCTATTTTGACTTCTTTTCCCATCGACGGCAGGGGTAGCAACCCCATGAATCACTCATCCGGGGTCTGTCCTCTTAGCATTCCATAACCCATTCGGTTGCTTTTTCGTTCCTTACGTTTCGTTTCCTCCATGCCTGAGCATGACGCGGGGAACGCAAGGGATGAGGTAGGTGAATGATCCCGGAGAAAGCCGGATCCCGGCTGGCGGGTCGCAGAAATGCATTTTGTGCGGGTTTTCCTTTGGTGCGTTGCTGCTGGTTGCGTGCGTTCCGCTTCGGCTAGGTGCACGTAAGGTCTTCTTTAGTAAATGTTTTATTTTTAAGTTGGCGCTCTTGGGTGTTACTTTCTGATGTTTGAGAAATTTTGCTAAATAAAAACTCAGCAAACTGTAAAATCCGGTTGGGTTTATACCGAGTGATAAGAAAAATGAATCCGGGGTTACGGTTGCGTTTAGCGAAGTGCCTATAAGTTCTGGTACGAAAAAGCAGGCAGCGACGGAAGACATTCGAGGGCTTAGAATATTTTATGCTCCAGGAAGAAATACTTTATAACTTGGTCTAAAAATAAAATGTTTAAATTATGAAACACCGGAATGCCTTAGAACTTATGCCTGAATTTGGTGTGCTTCGACTTAAAAACATGGCGAATCACCGTCTAGTCTCGAAACAGTGGCTGAAAATGGCGTGGAAAAAAAAAAAGGTAAAGGGGATTTTTTTTCCTATGAGCGAGCTGGGACTTAAATAGATGAATAAAAAGGTAAGTTCTTTCCTGTTCCGAGGAAAATATATTCATTATTTAATCAAATTGAACAGGATGGTGAAGAAGCAGCAACGCTTTGCGAGGGAGTCGCACGCTTTCGCGTTTCCGGCCGTAATCGAGGAAGGCAGGAGCAGGAAAGAAAGTTAAGATACGGTTCCAGCTGTTTTACATTATAATGTAGAGCACTCGACGGGGGCTAGGTGCTCTCGGCAAAAGCAACAATTGAGCGACAATTTGGAGAGGCCTCGCTCGTTTACAAGCGACTTCGAAAATGAGCTAATTAGCAAAAGGTCGCTTGAGAGAAGTTCACTTTTGCTTTCTGAAGACATCAGTCGCTTTCTCAGTGTTAGTTTTGGTAAATAAATTCTAAAGGAATAGGAAAGAGTTTAACTTCTGATGGAAGTTTATCTTGGAAATTGCAATGCAGCTCTAATTTTTTTTTTGGGGGGGGGGGACCGCCCTGTGGTATTAGTTTTTTAAATTTAAATGTGTGATTTCCTTTCAAAGTTACACAATGGGACGGGTTTTACGTTTTAAAGTCACTACAGCTCATGCGCAAAGAAAATTCAATTTTAATAACCGAACATTAATGGAACATTAATTTGAAAAGGCTATGCTTTTTCGGATTGATATGCTTTCCTGAAGAGTTGATTTTTTTTTCTTTCAGAAACGATCTGACCCCCCCAGGTAATTGAGGGATTTATTAGGTAATTGAGAGATTTAACTCTCTCAAGAGAGTCTTAGAAATGCGAGGGAAATAGTCGATGCTCACCTTCATGGCAGGGAAGGAGAAAAGAAAAGAGGAATCTGCCGACGTCTCTTGATTCTCGATCACACCCACGAGAAGAGAACCGTATCGAAGTATATATATGTATTTATATATATATGGTATGGAGCGTACGATGATCGCTTCTCCCAAAACCACGCGACAGAGTGAACCGAGGCCGTCCGTTGCGAAAAGACCTTTTATATCCCCCCGCGCCCCCCTCCGCCCCCCCTCGCCCACCTCCCCCCCTCGCCTGTTCGCCCTTCATCACGCATGGACATCGTTCCCCTCTTAAGGGGACCATCCCCTTCCCCACTCTCCTCATGTAAATGTCCCGTGACGGGGATAGGAAAAAAAAAAGAGGACATGATATACATGATCGACAGTCAAGAGGGGCACGAGCGATGTCATAATATCCTCCTCCCCCCCCCCCTCCCCGCCGTATTATCCTACTTTCCTTAGCCCCTCGACCAACCCTTTCTTACTCCATTCTGTTCTAAGAATATGTCATATTGCAAAATTACGATGATGCGACCAGATGGAATTGAACATCGGTCGACACCATCCCGTCCCGTTTGCATGGCAATTTATTTCAACAGCGGCATCGGTTGATGTAGTACCTAAAAAACTGTTTCTGGATTTCAATATTCAGAACTGTATTCGTGATTTTCTCCGCGAGAAAATTTCCAGCAGATTTCCCGTGTAAAAGGTTGCGTGGTATTTTGGCTTTCATTTAGGATATACGAGATATCTCGTAAATCGTGAAGATACTCCTAGTCTGCATCCGCGATACTCTCTCTCGACTTCTGGTGACATTTCCCAGAAATCCGTGATAGATTTTCCGGTACTGCACTCTTCGAAGGGCAATTCGTTCAACTGATGGTGTCGCCCGACCACCAGACCGCAGAAAAGGGATTCGCTGGCCGCCAGTTCCAGCTCAGACTCGAAGGCACCTTGGCATTTGGGGGGTGTATACACCGTTTGGCACGCCCGGTTGGCACCTTAAGTTATTTTAGCGATGGTATCAGTTGGTCGTTTCGGCGGTGGCATCGGTCGACGATCCCGTCAGGTTGCGTCATTGCTCGTTTCCGCGAAATGCCGTCGATCGAAAACGCTCGTCCCGTTACGAAAAAGTTCGTGGAAATCCGTCGGGATCGGCCGTCGTGGGAGAAAGTACCCTCTTCGAAACACGCGGAGGAACCCGACCGGATTCCGATTTTTTTGGGGGCGACAGCGTTTCCTGGAGGAAAGGAAGAGGAAAGGGAAGGGATGGCAGCACGTGCGATGCATTCCCGTTCGCGTTGCAATCTCGGTGGGTGGGAGAGGCGGTGACGGCATTCCGGCGCCGTTGCGTCACGGCGCATGCTTCCGTCGACTCGGGGGCTTCTTCGGCCTTCGGGGACAATGGATTGTAATGGGTTATGCGCAATCACGAGCGAGGAATCCCATCGCTTCCTCTTCCCAGTCCCCCCGGGATCTCGGAATCCATCACCTATTGTGGGAGAAATGGACGGCGAGGGTTTTTTGTCGGGGGGGAGGGGGGGGGGGGGGAGGAGTAGGGGGGGGTACGTCACGNGTGTGGGGGGGGGGGGGGGGGGGGGGGGGGAGAGGAGTAGGGGGGGTTACGTCACGATTCTGGTTGGAATCATCCATTAGGGAGAAGGTCACGAAAAGGGATCGTGTCCGACGCGTGCTTCGTGGAAAAAAAAAGTGGAAAGGGTTAAGAAGAAAAAATGAAAATATCAGGGTTTTAAACATGTCGAAGCGTGATTCCGTCAATCTTTTTGTTGCACTAGAAGGCTGGATGGACCGGCTGTCGGCATCGTGCTGCGGACCATCGCTTTGATGGCCCACGAGCGAATGCATTATTACTTTCATCGAAGCAGCAAAAAAACAACGCCTCGAGAACGGTCTCCCACTAGGCTCGGTCCTGGCCCCGTCCCTATACGTCGGCGTACGGACATATACGGACGACGTCGAGCCGTAAATTTACGTACGTCCACGACTTGGCCATCGTCTCGCGGGCACCGAAAGTCAGCCGAATGCCGACCTCAAAACTTTGGGCGAGTGCTTGCGATATCGGCGCCCGAAACCGAACCCCTCCGAGACCGTATCGTGCGCCTTCCGCCTTTCGAACCGGTACGCAAAAAAGACGATGGCGATCGGCTTCTGCGGTGAGCCGATCGAGCACGATCCCTGCCCGCGCTACCTGGGGATCGCACTCGCCTGTCGACACCTGAAACCGGTGAGCAACAGAGCGAAGAGCCGCGTCGACATCGTTCACGAGCTCGATGGGGATGCGATACCCGAACCCTCCAACGGCGAATCTGGCTTTGGTGTACTTCACGCCCGAGTCCTGCTCACAGGTGTGGGTCCGAAGCTCGCACGCGGCTCCACGCATCCGTGCGCGCCATCGCCGGAACCGTCGAATCGGCCCCACTGGCGACAGTACGAGAGTACGACAAAGCACTCTCAAACTCTTGAACCCCGCGCCGCGGCGACTCGAACCGACCACCGCGCGCGCGCCTAAAGTCCCGCAGACCGTTCTGGACTGCAGGTGCAGCACGCCGGACCCCCTAACAACGGTCAGGATGAACAGCGGTGAACACTATAGAACGACGCCGAGGTTAAGAACGTCTCGGACCCTACGTCCGAGCCTCCTGGTTTCTTGCTTCGACGCAAACATTGGAGCGCCATCAACCGTATTAGAACTTCACACGCTAGATGTACAGATCTTTTGCACGAGAGGCGGATTAAAGACTCACCGCTATGTCAATGCGGCGAAATCCGAGCCGAGGAGCATATCAACAACTGCCCTATATACTCCTTCCGTGGTGGTTCTGTCGAATTACATCGTGCAACCACGGAAGCCATCGGCTGGATCTCAACACTCCCAATTTGCTTATAATTTTTTCTCATTGTTTAATTTTCATAAAGTTGCTGTTTTCCATACGTAAGAAGAAGAATATTATTATTATTGTTTATTTATTTGATTTGCAGAGACGAGAGGAAGGGTGGAAGACGAAGGAGGTTGGCGCGATCGTGATCGCGCCGACGCGGGAGCTGGCGACGCAGGTGCATCAGGTGCTGGAGCAGGGGTTCCTCGAAGGCGTGGGGCTCACGTCGATGCTGGTCACGGGTGGGGGGGACCCGGGGAAGGACATCCAGAGGTTCAGGGAGAAGGGGGGGAACGTCGTGGTGGGGACGCCCGGGAGGCTCCTGGATCTCTTCCAGTTTCGAGGGGCGTCGGTGGGAGACTTCAACTTCGCGGCGCACGTGCGGTCCCTGGTGAGGAGGAGGGGGAGGAGGAGGGACGGTGCTGACTTCCTTCGTGTCCGGTAGGAGGTGTTGGTGCTGGACGAGGCCGATAAGCTGTTAGAGTTTGGGTTCGCGACTGCCTTGGATTCCATCATCTCTCACCTGCCAAAGCAGAGGAGGACGGGGCTGTTCTCTGCCACGCAGACGCAGGCCGTGCAGGATCTCGTCAGGACCGGTACGTTTCGGGGATGGGGCATCCGTCGTTGCCGTCCGTTATAGTTTATTTATTTTTATGTCATTATTATATATGTATTTATTTCAAGAAGTCCTTGAAAGCGTGTGCGAAGTGGTTTGAGGAAGATGTTGGGTGACATGCACCAACTGAGGCATCAGATTAAAGATTAAAGATACACGTTTGCTAAAAAAAAAATAAAGCATGTTTAATAAAGTGTTTATCTCTGACATGCACCACCGAAATTCAAATTAATTCCCATTCCCGTTTATCCACGATTTAAAACACGTTTAAAGGCGGTGTAGTTACACTTGGAAAGATAATGATCAGAATCATGTGTCAGCTGCTGCTCTATTGTCCAAATCGGCGACGGTGTCCGCGGAAAGACGAATCCTTGTCCGAATTTGTCTCCATTGAAATATTCAAGGAGATGGAGCGGATCTCTGACAGTCCTCCTGGCAGGTTGGTTCGGAATCGTTTCAGAAACCTCCATCTCTTCGTTAGTTTCCATTTCCGCCGTCGCCAGATGAAGAGAGGCAAGAATACGGAGATGAACCTGCCGAGGAACGAGTTTTATCGTTCAAGATTAGTTTAAGAGAGAAATAGGGTGACGAGCACCAGATCCATTTAACTTTAAACCGATCCCGTTTCGTGATGGGCGTCTATGGGAATGAGATCATCTCCGTCAAACGGATTCCCTTAGAGTTTGAGTGTCAAACTCAAATGCTGCCCGCATTCCTAACATTGCAGGTACCTGCGGACCGCACCCATCATTTTTCACCGAAATTTGTGCCGACAGTCAATCCAAGCGGAAATTTCTAGAACAGACGGCGGGCCGGATGAACCACGTCTGCGGGGTGTATGTTTGACACCCCTGCCTTAGAGGACCATTGTGAGATCAGATCACTTCAACAGATCTGGTGCATGTCACCCATAAACTAATTGCATGTCACAGATCGAGTTAGCTCTTAAACCGATGCGGTGCATGTCACCCCTCACGTGAATGATTCCATGTCAAATGAACTTGCTTTTTGAAGGAAAAAAATTTAACTCAAGTTCTTTTTTCGTAGTTTCTCCGATATTCATTAAATTTGGTGCGCGGGTCTGGTTCACGAAGAAATGAAAGCATGGAAAATGCGAAGCGGTCCTCGGTCGAACGGCTCGAGAACAGCCATGCCTAAGCCATGTCGTTCGTTCACGGTTTTCCTTCACGCCCATGAATGCCTTTTCAAGGATGTCGTCGGTCGAGATGGAAAGAAATGCGCACTTGTAAGCTGTCCCACGTCCTCGGACCCGTGACAAATGCAATCCTTCCATTTCGGTTTCCTTCTCGCATTTGGTGGGCATCACCGCGATTTATAATATTCCGATTATAACAATGTGATTAAAATTTCCGCTATCCTCCAATTTTCAAGATTGCGGTTTTTTTATTATAAATATTTCAAGGAATAAACTTTCTAGCGAAGGAGGTTTCATCGATGAAATTTAATCTAATTCCATTTTGCGAAAATCACCAATGCAAGTAACGTTTTCCAGATTCATTTTTGAATCATATTAAACCTCGCCTCGTTCGTTGGGCCTCGCCTCAACTATAAGATCGCAAAAAAATACTTCCAAATATTGAATATATTATTATATGAAAGTGGTTGAGTAGGTCTCAGGTTTCTTTAGAATGTTTTATAATAATTATAATTATAAATCGTCGGAAAATGTTATTCTCAGCGGTAACTTTCACTGGTTTAAGATTAGATTAAATTTCATTAAATTAAATTAAACTTCCTTCTCTAGAAGGTTTCTCTATACGAAAAACGCATTCTCGGAAATCGTTATATAACATCGTTACGATCAGATTGTTATTTATTACCAGTGTTATGATTAAGATGCTGTAAGTTATTGCGACCGCGGTGATCCATAGCGAATGCGAAACGGGGACCGAAGCGGAACGATCGCTTGCGTCACGGGTCGAAGGATCTCGAAGGCCGTCAGCAAGTTTTTCTCGGCGGAGGGGAGCCGGGGTGGCAAGTTTTCCTCGGCGGGGGGGGAGCGGTGCGCTTCGATCGCGTCGTTTTCCGCTCGAGTGGATTTTATGTGGGAATTTCAAGCTGTTTTTGTGAGTTTCTCCGGGGGTTGGGGAATCGAGTCCTTTATCAAGCGATGGCAACCTCGGGAATTGCGGGGAAAAGCCGAAAGTGCTCAAATACTTCGGGTACCTGAGGTCGAAGAAGTAGAAGAGGAAAATTTTTTCAGGCGGCTCCTGGAGGTTTCGCGTTGTTACCTCCGATGCGTGATTTAACCGGAAGTTATTGCTCTAGTTCCTACTAGATGGCATCATAGTAAAGTCGGGAATCGATGGGAATGTATTTTACATTAGAAAGTATTTTGTTTTTACTGTATGAAAGTATTTTTGTTTTGACTTTACGGACACCCTGTAGAATTCGAATCGAATTTTGGCAAATCTGAGGCCGTTCGCTAAGGACCGCTTTTTTTTTGGAGCGGTTGACAGTCTTCGAGGGAAAATTCCGTCCAAAGGTCAAGTACGGAGCTTGGGGTCTCCTGGAAGGGCGATGTCCGATCGGAAGGAAAGATCTGGTGGAAAAGTAAAAGAGAGAAAAAAAAAACAAAAAAAGGACTGCACTCGGCTCCACCTGCCCGCAAGGGTTTGTTCAGGGTGTGGCCTCGTTTCATTTCTGGGGGTTTTCGAAGAGACGGAAGGCGAAGCGTGCGGTGTCGCGCGATCGCGTCTCGCGCCTCGAGCCTCGAGACCCCGTCGTGATCGCGATCTCCGATCCCCAGGGATGAGGAACCCGGTGGAGGTGCGGGTGCGATCGGTGGGGGGGACGGGAGGACGGGACGTGGGGGTCCCCGACACCCTCACCAACTACTACACGCTCTGCGCGGAGGAGCGGAAGCTGGACCTCCTCGCGGCGTTCCTCAGGGAGAAGTGCGCGGAGCGAAAGGAGAAGGTCCTCGTCTTCGTGGCCACGTGCGCCTGCGTCGACTACTTCGGGTCCGCCCTCATCGGGTACGGTCGACTCTCGGAACCTTCTTCTTCCGTGTCGAATCCGCTCTGACGTGCCGTGTCGTTCGACAGGATCCTCGAGGACGTGCAGGTGCTGAGCCTCCACGGCCGGATGAGAGGCCGCCGGTATCTCGTCTTCGACCGATTCCGGAATCTCGAGTCCGGTGAGTCCGACTTCCTCCTCCCGAGATTCCCCCCACACGACCCCCTTTCAGACGACTCATTGCAGGGGTCCTGGTATGCACCGACGTAATGGCCCGCGGGATCGACATCCCCGACATCGATTGGGTGGTCCAGTTCGACCCACCCTCGACCGGTGTGGCGTTCGTGCACCGGGCGGGCCGGACGGCCCGGTCCGGCTCCCAAGGCTCCTCCCTCCTCTTCCTTCTTCCCAACGAACAGCCCTACGTGGAGTTTCTCCTGCTCAACCAGAAGGTAGTATATCTCGGTGTCTCGATGAATCAATTTTTCATATTTTTATTTATTGCTGGAGCTGCCAGTTCCGTCCATGAAGACAGCGGAACCTGCTCTTGTATCGGCATCTGTATTTTGCTTATTTGTATTTTACGAGTTACATTTTTACGAGCCTGTCGCAACGGATTTTATTTATGTATCGTTCGACGCATCATTTCATTTCCTGTTCCCTTGCCATAGGTCCAAGCATTTGCGATCCCCTCCAATCAGGGCCGGCCCTACCTATTTTGGCGCTTTGTGCAAAGAGACTCCCAATGCAGCCCCCCCCCCCCTTCCCCCCTCCGAGGGAAAAGGGTCAATCCCTAACGTCCAAAATGACGCCGGAACGGACGGAAGGCATTTCCACTTTCTGAAATGAAACTGAGAGCGGCATCCATTATTGCTTCATACATTCAGTCTCGTTTTGGCGCCCCTGGTGAATTTGCGCCCTGTGCGGGGGCACATTTAGCACATGCTTAAGGCCGGTCCTGCCGCCAATGGCAGGAATTATGCCGGATTTCAAGAATTCAAAACCTGCTCAATGGAGTGAGGAGCAAGCAATTCACCCCTAGATAGAGATCCTATCAATGCACTTTTTAAGATGATGTATGAGATCCACTCGAAAACGAATGCTGTTTAATTGTTTTCTTCTTTATTTGTTGTTATATATTGGTGTTTGTTAATGTGTTAAGGGTGTTAATGTAACTAGTGTCATTTTCCCAACACAATCTTGCACTGATGGACAGTTTTTGGAAATGTGTTAGCATCACTGGTGAACGGTTGACCCAAGTGCAGATCATGTGAAGGCATGGCCTTCGAGGTGCTTGTTTAAAGGAAGGAACCAGAAGTCACTGGGAAAAAAGATCGGAAGAGAATTGGGCTTTGCTCGATGAGACTCATGCTGTTTTCTGCAAAGAAGTCGCGAATGAGTGCGATATGTCTGTGCGATGGTCTTGATGGAGCTTGAGCCCATTTTTTGCAGGCCTGGTGGGAATGGTGTCCTTTAAGGTGGAAGCTTTGGAAGTTCCTGTCACAGTTGTTCCTTTTGGAATGGGATACGAAAAAAATTACCTCTATGCCGTCCCAAAAAATGATAAATGCGACTTTTTCAGCAGATGCTCTGGTGTGAACAGGTCCACCCTGAGGTTTTCAGAAGCCTGGGGACAAAACAAAACCGGAGGCCATTGTACGAATGGGGGTGGTTGGATTGGCCCTTGGAACCTTAGCTCTGGGTTTCATTGGAAATCCCTTTGGGTCACCTTAATACACGAGGCCCGGGGCAGATCGTTCCCGATGCCCTCGCTCTGGGCAGGTCTGGGTGCGAAACTCGTCGGGAGGTTGCGGGTCGCGATGTGCCGACTAGAGTTTTTATTTTTGGGTCGAAGAGCAACGTTTGTGTTTGCCAACAGCGACTATGTACTCGATGCAGCTTTCATTCTGAGGCCGTTGGGTTGACGGCACAGATCGTGTCTTCATTCATGCTTGACAGTGATCTTTGGTCAGTTGACGCGATACCCATCTTGGCGTCCGTGACGTGCCTCCTTCCCTGTCGCCTGTCAGTCGCATGACACCACGCTGTCCTCGATCGCAACTTCTCTGTCTTTGAGGTTGGAAGCTTGCTGGACCTTTCTTGATCAGCTCTTGATTCCTATTCCCCGATCGCTTTCTGTCATACGTGAATGTTACTGGGACCTATCACACGGTCATCTCATGATGACGCTAACTGCTGATGGACTGCTAACTACTCATTTACTGAGTTAAGTCGAGAATTTGATGAAAATTCAGAGCCCTTGCCATGTGAATGATGCCATTTCACCATTATTGCCAGCAGGTGGTGCTGTTAGGTAGATTGTTCACAATTGCAGTAGTTGGATCATGCTGCAATCTGGTATGGGATATTAAATTAGTTTTACACAACAGCTCGGCACTCTTGTTCATGTACTGAGCAAACTTTGAGGGAAAAAAAGGAAGAGTTGCCAAGTATTGATTGCATCTCATGTTAGAAGTAACTTCATTCTGTTCCTCTGTGAGCGAAATTTTACACAAATGTATTGGAAATTGATGTCGATGGATGTAGGACACGGTTCACTGACTGATGAGATTTTTCACCAAAACTGGACTATGCCCTAAAAAAACATGAGGGAAACACTTTGGAAGTCATGATTTATGTATACAAGGAAGTGACTACCTACTTTTACTCATGATTTCAACATCTCAATTTCCCAGATGGCATTGCCAGCTTCTAAGTTGGATTTCACTTCATGCCCTACATTGGGTCTATCACCTGCAATCTAAGTAGATATGGGACCCGTATGGACGTAGGCCCACCACGATTGCTTAACGTCGTGTTTTTAACACCGTGTCCGTCTCTGCACATAGGTGAGCCTGAGCGAGATGAAAGAGGTGGTCGAGGAAGGGAAGGTGAAACCCACCAAGGAGTTGCTGGAAGGACTTCAGATCCGGGATCGAGCGATGATGGACAAAGCCAACCGAGCCTTCGTCTCCTTCATCCAGTTCTACTGCAAGCATCCGCTCTATCTCGTCTTCCAGTTGAAGGAGATGAACCTGGGGAAGCTCGCCCAGGGCTTCGGTCTCCTGCGGATGCCCCGCATGCCGGAGTTCCGCGCGCTGGCCCGCGGTCTGCAGGACTTCCAGCCCTCGTCCCTGGATCTCAATTCCATCCCGTACAGGTGAGGGGCGACGGCGCGTGAGGTCTTCCTCTAGGAAAGCGTGGGGTTCGCGAGCGTTTTCGATCGTGGCAGGGACGACTCGAAAGAGAAGACGAGACGGGAGAAGCTGAAGGTGTTCAACGAGACGGGGAAGTGGCCCCTATCCAAGACGAAGGAGAAGGAAATCCAGAGGAGACAGGAGCAGAAGGAGAAACTGAGAGAAGTTTTGAAAGGACCGCAAGGAAAGAGGAAGCGAGTGAAGAAGCACACCTTCTCCCAGGAGGACATGGACGAACTGGACCAGGACTGGCGGCTCCTCAGAAAGCTGAAGCGGGGAAAGGTGAGACTCGCGATGCTTTTGCATCGAGCGCTCTTCCCTTGTCGATCCCGTCCCTTCCCTCACTGTCTTTTCTGGCTCTTCCAGATCACGAAGGAAGAATTCGAGGTGGATTTCTTCAAGGAACAGGAGCCGTCGAGCAAGAAAGCGGAGAAGACCTGAAGCCCGTTCTCCGTCGTTCGCTCTTTGTTTCACTTTGTTATCTCTCTTCTTTTCGCGAAGAGTCTGTTCCAATGAAGATCGTTGAGGAAGACGAGATGTATTTCACGAATCGCGGAATCTCCCTCCCCGACGATTGCATTCCGCGTGCGACATCGCTGGGTTCGGGTCGCCTCGTTCGAATGAATTCGGATCATGGTAGCCTGCCAACGGTGATTTGCCTTTCGTGCATGGAAATCGAGTTTTGCTCAAGAGAGACGATGGAAATATCTTTAACGATTGAATATTAGATGCCTCCTGTGGGTACGTAGCACATTCGTTCTTACGTTTGTACTTGCATCAGCTGAATTATCATTCACGAGATAGCAGTCGATGAATGACTTCCATAAAGAATGTGGTATTTGCGATCTGAGTTGTGACTTTGTTAAATGTAAGACCCTTTAACCTGCTGGTTAAGGGGTCCATGGCTCAGTCCCAGATGAATCAATTGCTCCAACATCTAGAAATCTGGTTCCCCTGCTCAATTTTTTCATGGCTGGAAATGAAAAAAAAAACTTGACAGGATTCAAATCTGCACCGTACGAGGGGCGTTCAAAGAATTTCAAGAATTGGCCTCACCCCCATATCCCGGACGAATCTCACAATTGCCCTTTTCTTCAAGAGGGTTTTAGTGATTAATACGAATTTTCTTATAATTTTTTCCCGTAATAGAGACTCGCAGTGCTCAAGAAAGGAAGAGTGACAGGGAACATGAATTAGGATTGATGTGAATGGATGAGCGTGCAATGATTTTCTCCTGCTTTCGCCTGGGTGATCCAGCATCACTGTGCCACAGCAAGCTAAAATAAGCTTTTCAGGGGCATGCCCCATCCCTCCCAGTATTGCATGAGTGGTACAGCCGTTTTCAAACCAGGCATTTCTACTTAGATGGCGCTTCAAGCGAGGGTGGGCCTGAACTTGCTTCAACAGCGACAAATGTCGAAAAACTGGAACGTGCTGCACGAAGAACGGAAATTAACTGCCCGTGAGATTCGTGAGACCGTTGGGGCGTCTGAAGAGATGGTACATAAAATTACATATGAGTGCCATGGAGCCAGGAAAATTTGTATCCCATGGATCCCCCATGCACTGTCAGCTACCCAAAAACAGGCTCGTGTCGAATTTCGCCCCTAAATGCTCCAGTGGATGAATTCAGCAGAGGGAGACGCAGATGTTGAAAACATTGTCGGAGGTTGTGAAACTTAGATCTTCTTTCATGACCCCGAGACCAATAACCTGAGCCGCCGGTGGGACTTTGATGGAGGAGACGTTCCGTTGAAACTGCGCCGTGAAAGGTGTTGGGAAGGTCATGGTCGCCATTTTTTTCCCTGCAGAAATGAAATACGGTTGTGCCCGTCGATGAAGGTGAAACAATGAGTGCCAGATGGTATGCCATCAAATGCCAGCCAAAACTTGCCGAAGAACTCCACCAAAGCGCGTCAAAAAGTGGGTTGGGTCGCCGGAAAGTGCACCATTCCAAAGCAGGTTGTCGGATTGACAGCTTCCTTCCTTGCTGTTCCGCAGAAAGGCAGAAATGCCTGGTTCGGAAATGGCTCGACCACTCGTGCACGACCGGATGGGATGGGGCTTGCCCCCGAAAGGCTTCATTTCAGCTTCCTGTGGCACAGGGATGCCGGATCACTCAGGTGAAAACACGAAATCATTGCACTCTCGTCCCTTCTCCATAATTCTAATTCAGGTATCCGATCACTCGCCCTTTTTTGGGCACCGCGGGTCTCCATTACGGGCAAGAATTCCAAGAAAATTCGTATCGATCATTGAATCCCTGTTGAAAAAAAGGGCAATCGTTAGATTAGTCCAAGATAGGTGGGTGGGGTCAATTCATGAAACTCATGGAACGCTCCTCGTATGCGTGCCATCACAGGTTTTTTTGGAATTCACGATGCTTCGTTTGCAGTGGAGATTCCCATGGAGCAGATTCGGTCTGGGTTCTGGTGCTTCGTCTGGACTAAAGGCTCCAATTTTTGCCGAAGCACACATGCAGTCTACATGTTCGAGTCCGAGTCCTTGTGGCTTTTTTTTTTTTGGCTAATTCCTTCCACCGAAAGGTAAATGATGGGAGCCAGATCTCACTGTCATGGTTGTTCACTTTTGGCGAAGCCATACGATGGCCTGCAAAATTGGTGTTCTCGGACCTTTATTTTGATGGTAAAGGTCGAAATCTCGTCTGGACATCCCTGAATTAACAGAATGGCGCGCATCGTGGATATCGTGCTTCTTGAAGGCATTCTCTCCTCAGACCTATTCGAGATGGTTCGAGGAACTCCAGTTAGGCCTAACGTTCCACGTCCCACTGAAAAGGTTCATGAAACGCGAAACAGGCCTCCAATCGGTATAACGTTACACGTCCTCTCTGAAATGGTTCGTGAAAGTATGAATAGGCCTGCGATCGGCCTAACGTTACACGTCCTCGACCAGATGTTCCGAAGACCACTATTCACCCTAATTGGCCTAATTGGCACCGTAAGTCGAGAATTGAGTTTCTTTTGAAAAGAAAAAGGTAGGCCTTGGCGTGACCTCAATGCAGTCTGTTGGTTAGCCCTAGGCCTAACGTAAGCGAGTCCCGTACTGAGGCGGGGGGGTTGAAGAAAGGGAAATTAATTGAAAATTGGTTTTCACATTACTTCATATTCATATTTTGACGAGTCCCGCACAATTTCAACTTCGTGCTCCATGAGTGTCCTCGTTTTGAGAAACAATCGGTTTGAAAGTGAAACTGAACTGCAGACGGTGGGAAGCCCCCCCCCCCCCCCCCCCCCCCCCCCCCCCCCCCC